TGTAAGCGTTCAAGCAAACCACTTCTGAAGATGCAAGCCACTCGTGCTTGCGAAACGTCAGGAAGAAATTCTACCGAACGACGGCCCAAAAACCCGAAAAATCATTAGTTTCAAGGAATGGCCTCAAAAGTATATTTCTTTTGATCAAAAACACTGTGTTATGTGTTTGCTGTCCCGCTAAATGTGTCACTGAAACTCCCAATTTTGATCCATTTGGGAACAAATCAAAGTTTTCTTTAGTTATTTGCAGCAACAAATTTCCATTGATCTGATGTTAATTTTACTTTAAGTACGATTTTTTGCTTTAATCGCCTTGTAGAGTTGCTGTACAAGCTGTTTTGTGTAGCTCATTTGAGCCATAAAATTTTGAAGAAAATTTTGGCAATAGCAAAATGAAGTGCCAAAAGCTCTTTTTTGCCATATTTATATTCATTTTTGCAATATTTGGGTGTAAAATTGTCCGCAGTTGCTTTAAGAAAAAGTAACTTTTGTTGATTGTCGATATCAACTGGTCCTTATCAAGCAACGTTTTCACTTCAATATTCCATTTTAAATTTTGCCTTCGTTCTTAAAATTAGTCTGACTTTAATGCAAGCATTTTTTGTGTTCAAGCAAGTTGCTATTAATTACTGCCTTATTGCTCATGATTTTCCGTGCATCTCACACTAAAAACGCTGTAATTAAAACACTGACAATTTTCCAAATTGTATTTATTAACTGAATATTGCACATAATAAATTATAACAGATAATAATCTTTACAATTCTCATTCTTTATACATATATACAGAAACAAAGTACCACAGTTTGAACATATCATAAATATTATTTTATTATACAGTAAAAACTTGACGTCCTCGAATTGGCTACTCGATAAAGCAAAAAATCGTCGTCTCAGTGATTACACCGATATTTCAAAGATCCAGCAGTTAATTCACTTAAAGTCCATCTTTTTTCGTTTCTTTGTCATCATCGTCCTTATCCTGATGAGCGGTCATGTGTCTTGTCAAATGATGTCGTTCTCTGAACGACTCTGCGCAAACTGGACACTTGAGTTTCTCTTCGCGTCTTCGCCGGTTCATATCATTGGTCTCATTCTTGTGATGTGATCGCATGTGATAAACCAAATCTGATGTCATTCGGAACGTGATGTTGCATTTGGCGCACACGTTTTGACCGGGCAGCGAAAGAGCTGCCAAAGACGGCGGAAGCAGCGATGTTAAAATCGCCGCTGCCGGATGGCGGATCTCTTGGGAAAACTTCAACTCTGAGGGCGAAGCGATTTTTAACAGTTCCTGCCCTTGGAACTGCTGATAATTGTACGAAAACTCCGGCCTGTACATTGTTGGTCGCATCTTGGGAAAGTTCGGATGGATCAGTTCCCCGGAGTTTTTCGCTAGAAAATGGGCATCTATGGCGGGATGATGCTGAAAGTTTTCCGGCAGGAAATTGGTGTGATATGCCGATAGAGGCGGTGAAGCCTTGAACAGCTGGTTCTGCGGCAGCATATTGGCGGGGAAATTTTGGTACTGCCTGTTGATAATGGGCGGCGAAGGGCTAAGGGAGTTTTGGTAATTTGTGTCCGGGCTTAGAGACAAGCTGGGGCTCACGCGCGACTCCTTATTTAGATTTACCTTCGTAAAGGCGCTCTTCTGTTCCACTGGCGAGGCCGCCTTACGCAAGGCTTGATAGTTCTTGTTCTTGATCAAGTTGGGGTCATCGAAGATCTGCTGCTTTTGCGTGAAGTAGCTCTGACGGTTCAACTTCAGCTCGCACGGGGAATCTTCAATCTCCACATCTTCGTCCTCGTTTTCCTCGTTGTTGTTGTAGCAAATGTCCACGTCCTTATCGAAACTAGCACTTTTCGCCAGTTTGGTCTGCTTTTGCTTCAGCTTCTCATCGGGAAGCATAAGAAAGGCAACATCAAACGGCCGCTTCACCGACTTGGTTAAAACTTGGCTCTGTTCGTCGCACTTCACCTCACCACCGCCTTTATTTCTGCATTGCACATCCATGTTGGCAGGCACAAGTGAAGAAACTCTCACCAGTGAAACGATAGCGATTCGTGCTGTCGCCTCTGCAAGCGAACAAGTAATGCGAAAAACCATACAGCCGGCGTCGAAATATTGCCCGCTTTTCTTCCTACCCCTAAAACCAGCTGGAAGCTAGTTTATCCCACCTTTATGCCAGAAAAAGACAAAAGTCCACTTTATAGTAGCGGGTGTAAGCGAGACGGGCTGCATACGTTTTAAAGAGCGTATTTCGTTTTACTACGCGAACCTTCCTATAGGGGTGAACGTAAGTTTTGGGGTAGCGAACAGACCAATGGAATTTTAGGTTTGGGAGGAGCTCCAAAATACGGTCCTCCAATACGGTTTTCAATGTATGCCGCATTAAAATCTGAAAAGGACGAGTCCAGGCCCTATTTGGCAGCTTATTCCCGATCGGGATCGACAGATTGTGTCGCTCTTATAATCGGTCACTTTTTTAATGTGCCATTATCATTATTTTCATAATATGCATTTATTCGAACCTTCTGTTGCCCATTTCGGCTGGATTTTGGTCTCGCTCCACTCTCATTATTTATCTATTATTGTATATAATTAATTATTTAATTAATGTTCGATTGCAGGTTTTATGGTCATTTAATGCAAATCGAGCAACATGAACATTACGGTTAATAATGCAACTTATGTTCATTAGGTCGGCTTAAAATAATTGTCAATTGGGACTCATTTATTACACTTTTAGCAAAATTGTAGTGCAAATCAGGGATTTTTATTACATAATTTTTGTACTGAAATTTACGATTTGTTACTTAAAGTTCAAGCGTTTCTGCTTGCAATATGAAGCAACCTAGACAGCAAAAAATTTCGATGTTTCAGCTTCATAAAAAAAATTGAAAATAAATATTTGTACTACTACTACTATAACTAAAGTATCACATTATGATAAACTAGTGTGTTGGTATCATTACAACTGAATTGCAATAAAACATACTAAATTATATGAATAATATTAGTAATTCGTCTAAATAATAACATTTCTAATAATCAGCTGAACAAAACCCGAACCAAATTTCTAAAAACATTTGATATAAACACTTGATATTGGCATTAAGATGAGCACAAAAATTATCATCAATAAAGCTGCATCAGGTTTTTTTATTGTTTCTTTAGAGCTTGTTGTACACAGGGGCGGATCCAACTTTAAAGTCAGGGGGGGGGKATGTATAAAAATTACAGTCTTCTGCTATCTATGAAATTAGAAAAGTGATCCTCGTTTTGTCGAAGGGTGGCGCAAGATTATGGCAAAATTTCATGTTTTTCGTCCCGTTTTGCATGTTTATCGGAAGCAAAATGAGCAAGAACGCTCGTTTTTACATCATTCCAGAGATAACTAAATGGCCTTTATTCGAAGTTTCTCAAGAACC